TAAAGTGAAACTGATCTACAGTACAGATGTGCCCATTGGGAAAACATAATAATTTATAGGGTCTAATTTGTAATAATAAGGCTTCGCTGACCCTTTTTCCCTCCCATGTGATTAGTTCTGTTCACACAGTGTCCGTGATCTAAGCGGTGGCCTTAATGTCTCGCCTTCTCAAACACCCATGAAGTTCCAGTTGATCCAAAACAGTCCCAAACCTGAAATGATTGCAAGGCCGGATGAATTTTTTAATCAGTCAATTCTTTCAGGAATCTAACAATTAGGCCCAGCGGTTCCCTTGTATTTGCATCCAAAAGACAAAGTCCTGGTTTGAATGAACAGAGGCTCCTCGAAGCATCCTTCGCAGCAAGGTAACTAATTACTTCAGCATGCCACTGGAGTCGTGTTTCTTCATCGAATGGGGAAATGGTTTTCAGAACGTCTGCTTTCTTAGATTTCCCTCTGTGTGGTTTTACCTGGTGTCAGCGAGAGTTTAGTTTGCAGCAAAATGGCGAAGGTGAAGTCCAGAGAAGTCTGTCTCATGCGCTGAGATAACCGTGCACTTCCATGCCTCCTGTCAAGTCCTTCGCCAGCAAATGCAGAGAAGCCACAGATAAAAAGGTGACTGGGAAAGCTATAGGCAGAGTGGAATATCACTTAGGTTTTCAATGGAAAATGTTGCTCAGGGAATCTGGGGTTTGGCCAGCTAAGTGCAGTGAGGGATGAGAGGTCAAAAAAGCTGAAAGGATTCTTTCAGGAAGTGTCAGCGAGAGCCATCTCGCAGGTCCAGAGACAGCTGTGTAACAGGAAAACCGAAGGGACATCCTGATTGGTTCTGATTCGTAATGAAACCACAGGATGCCTCTTGCAACACTAGCCAGATTGTGGTGTTCACTCCCTTCAGTTTGGTAAAAGCTCTGTCACCATCTTACAAAACCCTTGCAGCCTTGTTTCCTCTAGCTTGTTACCTCTCCTGCCAAGAGAGAGGTCTTGGCCTCAGCTCCGTGGCAGAGCTCAGGTTTGGGAAACGCAGTGGCATGGTAGAGCCATTAATATACAGGAAGGACTGAGCCCCAAGGAAAAGGACACACCTCGGAAGTGTGAGGCATAAATTCAGTCTTTCCCCTGGACTTCCTGAGGTGCCACATCACTGTATAAAAGCTTGTTGCTTTGTCTGTTGGCTTTATCATGCAGAATCCACTGTACCGCAAATGTTCAAATTATAGTCGCAGACTATAGTAGGTATCCACATCATGACAGAGGATATAGAAAACCAAAACTTTATGAAACCTATATTCAAAGCCATTTATCTCCTTCTGCTCTCTTCAACTGCAAAGAGACAGATTTTGATGTGATCCCAAGTTGAACAAATAAAGTCAAACATTCTCGTTAAGGTAGCAAAAATACACATGAGATAGCAAACGCTGGGGCCCAAACCACTAATGTGTGGTATGCGGTTGACGCAGCTAACTGCTGTGTACATTCAGCTCTCCCAATGGTTTGTCATGATTAGTTTGTTTAGCTCTTAAAAACCACCACGCCTTTTGTGTCATAAACAAACATCTCCTATATTGCATTTAGTGTCGAGCCGTGGCCCGTAGATGGAATTAAGACTTTGGCCTCCTTACATATACAAAAGAAGGCTAAAGTTGCCCAAAGTGACTGTTTACAGAATTTGTGTTTGCATGTTCTTCACTCATCAAAACGTTTGAAATGATAAAAAATAACACTCCTGTATGTAATTTGCGGCACTTTCATTCTCTCTAAATACTCTTACCATGTAAAATTTCTTCAGTTTGCGTTTAAATCTGGACTATAACTGAATAAAGTAACTGAACATACTATTAGAGGTTTCGCTTATTGTTGTAAACCCAAATAGATTTATTACAAATCTCCTCAGTTCCACACAGGCTATATATGTTTTTGTGTTTCTTCTTTCTTTTACATGTAGAAACCCTACATTTGATCGCACATTTCTCACCAATGTTCTTTACATCTACGATGAAAGCATGACTTCCGGTGATTGCTGATATTGCTAACAGTTTAACATGTTAGCAATTTTTTAACATTTAAGCTTTAATTGTATATGCATGTACCCACCTTAACCATCTGTAGCTTGTAATAGCCTGTTTTAAAGCCTTAATTTGAGAATTGCCTTTTTGTTTTTTGGGGTGTGTTAAAGGATCAGAGGGTGGAGTGCTAAGTTATCAGTTAACACTAGGAAGCTTGGTTAACAAGGCCAGATGCACATAGTTGTAAGTAATATCACAGCTCAGTCACACTAGAGTGAAAATAGAATGGCAGCCTACTTACCACTAGGAAAAATTGTTGGTTTCTTGTTTTATTTCTTCTTACTTGTTTTTACTTTCAGCAGCTGATTGCAAGTAGTTACAGTGACCTGTCTCCAAACAACAACAGTCTGACTGCAATCACTGTCAGACAGATTGTTGAAGGTTTGCAAATCATTGCCAACTAATTTCAAAATGTGGACAGATTGCCAACAGGTTGCAATCAGTCAGAGTCAGCTTGCACAACATGCATCTCTTTGCATGGCTCAACTTAAAAGGTTGTACTCTTGTTTTCTTTTCAAACCTATGAGCTTCTGGCTTGACCTGCAAGCTAATGTGAAATTCCATTTGGTGCAATTTTTGTTGTGTATGCAGACAACAGCAGATTTGTGATTCCTCTTCTATTTATCACAGTTAATCGCCCTATCAGCACAAACAGATACCTGTCTGCGAAACAGAGGGCCTCAATTGGCCAACTGAGGAAGGTTACAGGAACTTCCACATTGGCTTAATTTTCACCCGTGGAAGTTGTTGCTTGGTATTAAGTTCGTTAGTGAACCAGTAACATGGAAAAAAAACAAACAAAAACAAACCCCAAACCCCATCGATTTCATTTAGAGGTTTATTCATTGCTTTCATCAAGTAACAACTGTTTTTATAAAAGATATTTTACATGAGAGCAAATCGGACAAGATGAGGAGATATGTGTTTGGTCATTGGATTGAAAATCCAGTCTCTATCAAAACAAACAAACAAATAAACATAACATTTCAATTTATATAACTTAACAATAAAAGAACCAAACTATGGTCACCACTTTCTTTGTTTCGACAAAGTCTGAAATAATAATTTATAAGCTTTAATATACGTTTGCTTTCCATTCGTCAGCATGGTGAAAGCATGGGTTGTGCTGGAGAAAGACATATACAGTACCAAAACTCTTGGCTTTGTTTATACTTGTAGGGTTTTCTTTGGGGGGGGGGCAGGTAGGAACAACAAAGGCATCTTTGTTGTCTCTGAAGCCTCCGTCCTTTTGCTCTGCCTCTTCCCAGAAAGCGGGTATTGTGTGAGGTGTGAGGGTCACGAGCGGCCCAGAGGTTCAGAAGTGCGATTAGAAACACAAGGAGCGGGTCCGATGGTACCCCGCAGCCACCCTGCCTGGATCAGGTGTATAAAAAACACATGTGGGAGCCCCCCCACCTGCATAAGCAAATAGTGCCTGGGGAGTGGCTAGTGCGATTCATTCCATAATACTTCCATAGTCACACTAACAGGAATAACATAGAGTTGTCCTTCATTTCTCTTTACTTCCATTCATTTTTATGTAAAAACACCTCCACTGAAAACTGTAAGTGCAGCTTTTTTTTTTTTAAACAGTTTGCACATTCAAGACACATAAAAAGGTCAAAAAGTTACTTTGTGCAGCTTCACTCCCTCTCAAAGTCCTTGACCAGATGCACAGTCTGGGTTTGTCAAAAAAAAGAAGGAAAACTGCACAATTTCTGAAGGAGTGTACATTTTGACACATATAAACAGTACCTTGAAGATATACGTAAAATTAAAAAGTCAGCACAGAGAGCCAACTTCAACTTCTCCCATTGACTTCAATTTCATTCCCCCTGTTTGTGAAGTTGGCATCGGTCCCCCCAAACGTTTCTAACATATGCACCGTACATTAGTACATTCTAGATTCTTTCCATTGGATGACAGAAGAAGCGCTTGATGCTTAAGAGAAACTGAGTTTTGATCAAGAACAAAACAGACACACACACACACAGACGGACAATAACAAATACTTGCTTGGCCGACGAAAAGATAATACTGAAATGTATTTTTGAAGTCAGGGGTAAAAAAAACGGAGCGAAGGGGAAGAAAGTCAAACTTTTAAGCCTGTCCTCTGGCTCCTTGTAAACAGCAATTAGAATGTAATGCTAAACAGCTGAGAGGGCTGAGGATCAAAAGGCTGGGGGTGCTCGTGGCGGTGGCTTTTTTTTCTCATACTAGACCATCTTGTTCTGAGCGCAGACGTGAAAAGGCAACAGTGTCCGCATAAAACACTGATAATGCAAAGCAAAAACATCCCTTTTAGGTCATGGCATTCCTCCACTGAGCCTTAAAGCACGCCTCTAATGCGTATATCTTTGTCACCGCGTCTTCATTTGGGTCCAGCTGAGTGTCATGTGCACATTTGAGCAAGTAAAAAGCCACGATAAGAAAGGAATCCTTCGCTGGTTAATGAAATCCAAGGCCGAGATTTGGACAAGGAGGAGAGAGCTGGCTGCTTATCTGCGTAGCCAGCAGTTGCTGTTGGCCCGCCATCGACGTGGCTGGGACTGGGACAGAGTTCAGTTTACAGTCAAAATGAAGACTCCAGTCAAAACAAGAACAATGCCTTCAGAGGATTCACACCGGGCATTTTCCCAAGCCCAGTGCGCACCCGTACAAGTGTGTGCCACTCGAGTTCGTCGGCGCCTCGGATTGCTGAGCTCACTCAGCCCTTAAGGCACATGCTGTTGCTGGGAATTTTCATTCACAAATTGAATCCTGAATCCTGAATCATGACTGGGACCCTAAAAAAGTGTTCCAGAGGCACATCAGTATCTGTGCTCCACATCGACCACAGTCAGTGAGTTATTTGTCTAAACAACAAAGGCACATTGGCAAAAAGACTCAATTTGTAGCGTTAAAAAAAGAAGAAATAAAAAATAAAACATGAAAAAAAATAAGTTAACATTACAAAAGTTTTTTTCTTTTTTCTTTTTAAGGAAATACTGCTGCTAAAACTAGTACTCGCAAAAGAGAAGATAGCCAAGGCCTCTTATGAACCTTTTTTTTCAGACATCAATAACAACCAAAAAGAATGAAAGTTCTTTTTCTGCCTCACACTTCCTGACTTCAAATACCCCCACCCCACGACCACCCTCCCTAAACAACAGTTCTTTTCATTTTGGGGTGGGGAGGGGGGAGTTTATTTGGACTCTGGTGAGTTTGCTGAAACAGGAATGTTTGCTGGTTTGCATAGAGGGGACGGGAGGACGACGTCCAGGCTAATATTTCTGCACCAGCGGCACTTTGACAGTCTTGATCTCTGCTATATGAGAGGACTTCTGGATAATGCAGCTGGTGGTCCCGGAGGCACTGTCCTTCCCCTGTGCCAGGTTGGTCAAGGCCATGGCGGCGTTGATCTCCTTCCAGTATGTCTCGTCTTTGCCTTTCGCCTTTTCTTTCTGTGTGGCTCTGGGGCCACCGCTGCTGCTGATGAGCGAGCTGACCATGCAACACGAAAGGACAAAAACAGAGAGCGTTACGATCAGCTCGCAAATGCAAATGACTCGATCTGGTCTGCAGCGTTAAGAGAAAGGCTGCTCACCTGTCACATTTACTTGATCCATGCTCTGTGGTTTCTGAAAGCAAGGAGAGAGAGAGAAAAAAAGGTTAATTTTGCTGAGTTCATCGGGGTCAATGAGGATTTATTGGAATGTCGCTGAACATACACTCTCGCAGTGTGTGTGTAGTAGTGTGTGAGGTCTATGCTGTGCGCTCTTATGCGTACACCCTGCTTTGTGAAAACATGTGTTGCTCTGTTTTCTCTCTTCGCTCAGATGCTGGACAAAAAGGACGTTTTTTTTGTTGTTTTTGGGGTTTTTTTGCAATAAGCCGTCAAGAAACAAGGTGACTAATAGGATCGAGTTGAAAGATGTTTCTTATGACTCACAAGCTCCATTCTCTAATATTTTGTTGGAAAACAAATGGGCCCGGGCCAACGTAATTGAGTTGTCTGAGGAAATCAGATCAAAAATGACTGAGCGCAGAAGATTTAAAGGGGGAATGAAAAGGCAGCAAGTGAGTCAGTGAGAGAAAGATGGATGCCTGCTCTCCCTTTCTTTTTTTCCTCTCTTCAAATGGGAGCAATCTTTATCTCATATGTGAAACATTAGCAGAGGGAATAGCAGAGTCATTAAACAATGAAACCCAACTTCTCTTCGGGGCAACCAGTGTGTTTATTTCAGCGTGCTCTTGTTGCCTGAATGCGTGTGTGTGAGTGAAAGAGGAGTTCATTTGGGTGTTTGAGCTGAACCTGTCCTGCTGTCTTGGTTCCAGCCTTAGGTGAGATCTGCCGAACAGTGAGTATGAGGACACAGGCTTGGCGTTTCATGAGGCATTAACCAAAAAGAAAAAAGAAAAAAGCAGAGCATCTGGATTTTTCTAGTCGCGTCGCCCCCGGGCGCTCTCTTTAAGTTAACTAAACACGCGTCTGAGGCCCCATGAGCTTTTAAGAAGTTCGGTCTTGACCAGATATAGATGACTGGATGACTCAAGAATGTTCAAAGGAGGGCAAACTCTCCCCAAATTTTCATTTCGTCCAAAGATAACAGAGTTCGTCATACCTGGGTTGTCTCCTGCTCGGCTGTCAATCTGATTTCCTGAATGTCCTCACCAACAGCACATGTTGGTGCTGTTGGTGAGGACCAACACCAATGTCGCATTTCCCCATAAAGCAAGTGTCTAAACCTGAGCTAGTGTTTTAACGAGACCCTTCCACCAGCCACCGTCACCACAAGGCAGCAGTTGGCGGGCGTGCATTAACGTTCTCCTTTGCTAATAAAAATCTGCACCCTTCATTCTCGCTGGAATTTCATTTGCTATCGTGGTAAGAAGGGACTGGAAGAGGTTGAGCGAGGACACTGTGTTCAGGCTTCGACATAGCCAACAGAGACCCACTGAGAGCAAAGGAGCCAAAGCTCGTTCAGCGACGGGGAAAGCACATGCAACATTTAACCATTCTGTTGTGTCACCTCTAACCTCGCCAAACCCTCCGTAGATTTTCCAAATATCTGGATACAGCGTTCAGGCTTGAAGCGCCTAATTACTCCCAACGCCGCGCTCTGTTCCTCTTTCATGACAGCGTCGGGGTTCAAGAGGCCCCAGAGCTAATGCGAGCCTGATTATAACATTTCCTGCGCTTTTCCCGCTCATTCCGTAATAGGTGTAATCCACAGAGAGAGGGAGAGAGAAAGAGACAGACAGAAGAAGCCAATCATTCTTAGACAGAAGAAGAGCAGGAATGTGTGTGTGCACGTGTGTGAGAGCGATGAGGACGTGATAACCCAGTACTACAAACCACAGGATGAGATTTGGGGCTTCAGCGTGTAAGTGTTCCAAAAAAAATCCTCTCATTCCCATCCGACCACAACTCCCTGCTGTCCCGTTTTTTGCTATGCCTTTATCTCACTTCATCAGCGAGTCCCCTTTTCCTTTACTGATGTCCCCCAGGTCGACTGTTCACCTTTTGATTTGCTGTAATACCCCCTGATTGAGGTACTCGTCAGGAACCAGCCAAAACAAATGCAATGTTTCCCGTCTGTTTTAATAAAGAGTGACTCTGTGCTATGTCAAGAGCAGGTTTTTTTAAAGCCCCTGATATTATCCATCTCTTCTTAGTCTCCAGTTTTTAATCCCTCTATATTTCTTCAGCCATTCTTCAAATTAATTGCCTAAATTGCCAGTGTCAACTGAATACTTGAAAACTGTGAAGCCATCCTCCCTGCACCCTATCTCCATCTTTCTTTCCTGATTGTTGCCAGGGCTCCAAAACAGATTGGTCCTGATTAAAAATGTGCACAACACTCCGTAATCACAGTGCTGTAATTAGAGGCCAAATTACACAGTTTTCATGCGCTGCCCCCCTGCCTTCGAGATACATTAGCTCAGTGTTTACGGCTGTGGTGCCCGGTGTAAAGATCGGTTGGTGACAGCAACTGATAGCAGCAATATCAAAGACAAACAACAGGCAGAAGAAAAGTGTGTGTGTGTTTGTGGGATCTGAAGTGCAGCGTTTGAGACTTTCCATCCACAGCTTTAAGTGTTTCCAGGGTGTGTGAGGCAGCCACTGTCCAGATGATTCCTTTCAGAACACACACATAAAACTGTGTTTTCTGAGCTTTCTAGCAGGTGGATGCAAGGATGACCTTTGCCACCCTGCACTCCAAGGCCCTCATTGGGGACTAGACACCAGCTCTCAACCCCTTGGACCCCAGATTTTGAAAATGCACCACTGCTTGCAGAAAAACTCTGTTTCCAAAGCCCTTTGCCTAAAACATCTAAAACTGGGATTTTTAAAAACAAGAGCAGCGCCAAAGACTCAATAAATGGCCAATAAATCACTGAAGATTTTTTTTTATTATGTTCACTTTTTTTTCTTTTTTAAACTCAACTACTTTGCTACTGAATACTCAGTCAACTTTGCTGTTGCCTTTGGGCTTCACTGACAGTGGGGTTGCACGGACCGCCAAAGGGGAAAGCTAAGAAGTCTGATGGTTTCTGGCATTGTGCTGGAAGTCCAAAAATACTAGCTCACTTAACATCACAGCGGGACGATGGAGGGGAAGGGGGAAAAGAACATAGGAGAAAAAAGAAAAAGAAAAAGTAGCTTTAACAAAACTTGGTAAAAACGAGGGAAACAAGCAGGGGCTGACAAATTATTGAGGTTATGAGGTTCCACCTGTTAAGATGGCTGCAGAGGAGAGTGGCTGACTATCATCATTACCATCTGGAGCTGTTGTTAGCAACTCGCAACAATAAACAAGGAAAGCTGAGTTGCACAAACCGTGGGCTGGGCTGAATCCGACAGACAAATAAGCACACACACACGCAAGGGCATTTTATGATATTGCAGGCTTTTAGCCTTAGTATTATCCAGAATAATTTCTCGTCACCATGGATAGTATAAAGAGTCTAAAAATAAGAATGGAATAGAAATTGAAAACAAATGATTACCTAGAAACAGAAAAGATGGCTCAATTTTAAAGCAAGAGGGTTTAACAATTCTAACACTTATAGGTCTTTTATGCTAATTTCAATCTCCATATTTTTATTCTCTGGCTCTGCTAGAGTAGGTCTGCATGATTCACAGAGGTGTATAATCCTTATTCATCTTATATCGTGCATTGGTGCAGCCCTGTTGACTGAAACAAGTGCTCTCCCTTTAAGGCAACACTCCCTTTAAATCTTTCTTCTAACAGGCTTCTCCCTGCAAAGAGAAGGGCTGAGGTGCATGCAGGTTGGTGGGGCTTTGGTCTTCAGTTTGAGGTGACTGCATGCTATCAGCACTTTTTGCTTGGAATGTTAGAAGCGAGGAGAAACAGCTAGCTTGGCTCTACCAGCATGTCTACAGCTTAAGTATTAACACACTGGATCTTCTTTTGCTTAATCTGTACATCATAGGAGCATTGTATCAACTGTGTGTAGGGAGTCCTTAGAGAAGCCTAATCCATTTGAAACCTGAACATGTGTTCACTTTAGATACATTTAAAGATGATGCAGAAATGATGTGCTTTGTCTGGATATGTAAGACTACCAGTATGGATGGAAAGCTAAACTAACAATTGTCTGGGCTGCCAGTTTTGAAATAAATCATGAATAAATTCTGTGAATCTTAAAAAGTTCTTCTCAAAATTGGCTAAACTGACAGATCTGTTAATTATTTATTATTAAATGTATTAAGCTATACTAATAAAGGCAGTGTAGAAAGTCACTGGGTAGAAGGGAAAATATGTTTACTTTGCTCTGAATGAGAAAATATTCCACCACTGGACGAAGGCCGGTGAATCTGGACGCAGAGACAGAATCCAAACTCGACTGTTAAAGTAGGAAATGAGCTAAGCTGATTTCCCCTAACAGGACCTGATGAGAACCAGAGTGGTGCTGCAGACTGGACAATCTGGTCACCGCTGACCTGTGCAACCACAGGATAGGAATGGACCATCATGTCATTAGGCAGCCTCTTTGAAGCCCGCCCAAACCCGAGGATGAGTCAGAAGTTACCATCACCACAGGTGAATCACAACGCTGCGCTCGACCTACAGGATAGAACTGTGATGAGCTCACCTGATGTGAAGTCAAATCAATATCAGAAGATGCATTAATTACTTTTAGCCAAGTCAAGAAGACTTGGCTAAAGGAAATGCCAAAAACCCTCAGGTGCTGCGACGCCTTTTTGAGCTTCTTTCTTTCTGCCACTTTAAGCCCGACGTGCGAGCCTAAGATTTCTCTTCTTATTATATTTCTCTGATGCTCTGTGCTTTTTTATAATGTCAAGAAGAGTCTGTAAATGAAGTTAGGGATGCCTTGGCACTCAGCTTGCCTCGTGCGCTGCCAACCCTACTTTTATATCACCCCTCCCAGCCATTCCTTTCCCCGTCTCTGCCGCGTTTGAACAAAGTCTGAGGCTCCAACGAAGCAAACTGTCAATTCCACTCAGCTAGCCAAAGACATCATACATGGCGTGAATTTAATGCCTTCTCCATTCGCCCTGACAACACTTTCATCGCTTACAAAAATATTGAATAATTAGCTCTTAAACTATTAAATCCAACATACATGCGCTGACACGGCCAGACAGATA